AGGGAAAGAAAGCTGGAGTTCTGCAAATTCTCTGTTCCTTGGGTATGTGCACAAGTTAATACTCTCTAGGTTTTTCCCCCCAACTGCAGAGAGAGGGGTCTTGGCAGGTTTCTCAGCCTGAACAAGGGTCTGTGTCCCTATTATCAAATGCCCAGGTGGGTGAGACTTCTCCAGGCTCCCTTACCACATGATGCTGGATCCCACGACACCCACAGAGGTGCTTTTGTTCACAGATAGTATCTCATTAGCTGTTAACAAAGGGGGATGAAAAGGGCGAATGGCTCACGCCACCATGGTGTCACGCTCTTCTCAAATGATTCAGGATTTGCCTCCCCAGGTACATTCCTGTCTTGATCAAATACGTTTTGCTGAGCTTCTGTACATCATGAGATGTGGGGACGATGGTTGTTAGTGCGAGTAGGATGTGGCAATCTCACGGAATAGATTGCTACAGATTTTCAGACACAGGGCCCTCAGTGCTGTCCTTGGTTATCTGAGTGGGCCCAAAGTTATCAATCACATGAGCCCTAAAAGTGAAGAACTTTATCAAACTAGAGGCAACAAAGAAGCAGTAGAAGGAGATGTCAGAGAGATTTAATGCACTGCTCTGTGAGATGTAGAGAGGACCATATGCACATAGAGGAGAGAGGCGCCTATGAGTCAAGGAGAGCTTTCAGCTGGTAGCCAGCAAGAAAGCAGGGACTTCAGTGCCCCAAACCCAAGGAATTGGATTCTACCTGCAATCTGCATGAGCTTGTTAGCAGTTTACTTCCTCTCAGCGCCTCTGGTTAAGAGCCCAGGTGGTTGACACCTTTATTTTGGCCTTGTAAGGCCCAGAGCAAAGAAACTAACTGAGCCAACTCCTACTTCTGACCTCTAGAACTGTGAGGTAATAAACATGTGTTGATTTAAGCAGGGAAGTTTGTGATGATATATTATGGCTGCAATAAAAACTAATGCGTATACTCTCTTATTTATTTGTTTATTTATTTACTTCTCCTATTTAAATGAGGATTTGACTTGATATCAAATTCTAGGCCCAAATCTATTTTCCTTCGTTAC